TGTTTCTCTTGACCGTATTTAGCTCCACTTTGCCCCCCTCCTCCAACTATCATGAATGGGGAGTTAACTTGAGCTCATCTGCCAGTGTGTCCCTTCATCTCACCATGCATACAGAGGCTGGCTGTGGGTGGGGGTGGACGTCCTAATGTGAAGGAAAGGAGACCTTAGAGGACCTGCGGTTCCTTCAGGTTTCCAGCAAACATCTAGTTTCTGTTTGTTTATAGAGTTAACCAAACGAGGTGGAACCATTATCACCCAGTAAGGCTACCAGTCCGGCTTCATCATCATCATCCTCATCATCATCATCATCATCATCATGACTCCATAAGGTGCAGTTATGAAGGCAGTGAACTCCATCCAGGTGGATGGGGACGGGAAGCATGATCTTACAGTCGTCCACCTCCTGCATCCCTGGTTTGGAGCCATGTTTGTCCATCAGTGTTAAATTAAGCTCAGGTTTCAGTTCAGACTGAAGCTAAAGCTAAAACCTGACTATGATTGGACGCTGGCCAGAAAAGCTGGCTGGAAAAGAGGCCCAGGTGCAGTCATTCAGTTCAGTTCAGAATGGTTCTCTAAGTACGCCACCGGGTTCTGGGGTCCCCTCTGAGTGGGATGTAGCCTAAAAAGCCTAAAGTCCAGGAGGCAGTCCAGTTTCCTTCACTGGATAAGAGCAGCTCTTGGTTGGGGTACCGTCAGACCTCCTGAACCCATCTCTCAAGGTGCAACAGACCTCTGGGTCGGAACATGGATGGACCAGTAAACCAAGCTCCTGTTAATGGCTTTTCACCCCTGGATCTACTGACCCATCCTCCACCGCACCCGCCTTCATTACCAACACCAAGACACTTGAACTCCTTGGCTTGAGGCAAAGACTGACCTTTGACCTTGGAGGAACGGTCCGGGTTGTTTAGCTTCAGCTTCAGACCCGTAGCATTTAGACGGCGGAGCTGACGGATGCTTCCTTCTTCTAGTAGAATGGGAGGCAGATCTTTTAGTTCTCAGGCTCCTCTCCTGTGGAACCA